CATATTGTTTACCCAATACTATGTCAATTAATTCCATAATGTTGTATATTGATACTGAGGCCTTGTTGGGGCTTTTAACTGACCGGATCTTTACTCTGTTAGACCTATCTTCAGACCACAGAAGGTCTCCCCAAGAGGCCACTGGACTTATCTGGACAATAAGACGCTGAACTTTATGCTAGGCATGTGTTTGCAAGCAATGAATCTCAACTGAACTTGAACTATGGTTATGCAACAAGGTGGAGGAATCCACCATGGGGGGAGGGGTATGGGAGGGGTGGGGGGAATCCCCAGCGCCTATAAAACTGTACTACATAATACAATGTAAACAACAATAAAAAAAAAAAAAGAAACTTTTGGAACCAAACTTAACCAAGAAGTTCTTGCAGAGAACAACTGAACAAATTGATAACTTGGGAAAACTAATTGAGATGTATTTGCAGACTTAGAAATATGCAAAGGATGCAGTTGATGATGATGAAAACAGAACTTGATTCTAAATTATAGGAATAAAAATATAGACTGAATGACACTGTTAGAATGTTACTAGGAACAACCAATTTAAGCAAAATAATCATAAAACCTAAAAATATATTAGAATATTTTTAAAAGCATATTAATTGAATTAGCATCAACCATTGAGACCATCATAATCACCTCTCAAAGATTATTTATTTTCAGACTGATTTGTTCTCCTGAAGTTTCTAACTTATTTCTTGCAGTCAGTCATATTAATATGTTAATATTCATTAACAATGGCATTGTGCAGTCTTAATCTGTTCACCATTTTCAGTATTTTGTTCCTGGGTCCAGATCACAGTTAATAAGACAGAAAGGACAGCTGGCTGGCTTATTTCCATTACTGAAGCTACTGTTCTATTAGTTGGCTTTTCTCAACTTCTGTCAGGATCTTGAATGTCACTCAAATGCTATTGTGAAATTAATGGGCTTGTAATATGTATCCCCCCTTGACTTTGAGTGTTAACCTAGGTCTTTCACTGCTGGTTCCAAGAGGAAATGTCATGCACTGACTGGTTCAGTTGTAGACTAACAAAGGGTAAAAAACTTGAATGTTTCTTTTTAATCATTTATTTACTTTGTTAGTGTTTAAGTGTAACAACATAATCCAGTCCTCCTTTACTAGCAACTTATCATGCTAGGATACACATTATATATGTAGCAGAATGAGATTTGCAACAGAATAAGATCCTAAAGTTCCTACAGGTGAACTTCAAGAAATTAGCACAAAGTCATTTGGCTTAGCTTTATGTAAAACACTTGATATTTTGTTTTCCAAGGTCAAACTAAAATCAGAATGCAACCAAAGGCAATAAAGACAGAGGAGAGCGGTTCAGAGATGGGGAATCCATGACAGGGTTGTTCTGTTGATGTGTGTGTGTGTGTGTGTGTGTGTGTGTGTGTGTGTGTGAGACATAAAGAGGGAGAGGGAGAACGCGCCTGTGCACATGAGAGAGAAACAACACTTATCTGCTTCTTCACTCTCCAAATGCTGGAAATGACCCAGGGTGGGTCAGGTTCAAGTTGGAAGCTGGGAATCAATCTCCACTGGGCACAGGGATTCAACTAAACCATCACCTGTTACCTCTCAGAAACTGTATCAGCAGGAAGCTGGAATTAGAAGCAGAGATGGGGCTGACACTTCTGAGTTCTGAGAAGAAATGTGAATATTGAGATCAGCATCTTAATAGCTAAGACATATCCATGCCCCCATGCCAGTCTTTAAGTTGATAACAGAAATTGCAGGTGAACAAGAGAAGAAACCACTGAATACCAAAACAAGACTATGGGCACTCTGGAGGTTAACATGGGCATAACAAAATTTTCATTGAGAGTGAACTTAATCCTATTCATTGTATTATTATATTAAATAGATGGATTTGTTGTGACATAATATTACCATGAGGATTTTTAGTTATATCATTGTTATCGGAAAGTTTAATTTTAGTGCATTGAAGGGATGTGTGCAATTCAACTTCCAAAGACTTTTTAAAATGAAATTTTGTTTCCTCTGTATTTTAGGCTTTACTGATTTTGTTGGAACAGATATAAATTAGTGATGTAAAAGTGAAGTTTGATAGAAAGGCAATATTTCATTAAGAGTGCTTATGAATTAGGATCAGATGTTTAGGTGCAACAGGCAAAGCCTCCACCTGCCATACGTCCCCTACATCCTTTAAGGGTGAATTTTGGAACCCTGGCTGCTCTGCTTCCAATTCAGTTCAGTTCAGTTCTCCTATTGGCCTGGAAAGAAAACAGCACACAATGGCTCTTGTGCTAAGACCTCTGTCACCGAGGTGGGAAACCAGGGAAAGCTGCTAGCTCTTGGGGTCAGCTCAACTTGGTGGTTATGGGCACTGAAGGTGGGGGTGGAAGATGGATGAATGATCTCTCTCTCTCTTTCTCTGTTTCTGGCTCTAGCTTTCCCTCTCTGAACCTGTAAATGAGTAAGCAAATAAATGAATAATTATTTGAAAGAGATTGCATAAAGCTTTGTGTTTTTTTAAAAGACTTATTATTATTATCATTTTTTTTTATTGGAAAGGCAGATATACAGAGAGGAGAGACAGAGAGGAAGATCTTCCGTCCGATGATTCACTCCCAAAGTGAGCAAAACGGCCTATGCTATGCCGATCCAAAGCCAGGAGACTCTTCCAGGTCTCCCACGCGGGTGTAGAGTCCCAAAGCTTTGGGCCGTCCTCCACTGCTTTCCCGGGCCACAGGCAGGGAGCTGGAAGGGAAGCTGGGCTGCCAGGATTAGAACTGGCGCCCATATGGGATCCCAGGCGTGCAAGGCGAGGACCTTAACCACTTGCGCCACTGCGCCGGGCCCAAAGCTTTGTTTTTAAAGCTAATATCTTCAAGGATAATTTTTAATGTATGAGTGACTTTTAAAATCAATAGGTATCAGGCTAGTTGATTAAATTGAGTGCTATAACTTTTAAAAGCCATTATAGAAACATAAAATAGGAATTGCAGGGCCCGGCACAGTAGCCTATTCACTGAAGTTTTCACATTGTATGTGCCAGGATCCCATATGGGCACCAGTTTTAATCACGGTGGCCTTGGTTCACATCCTGCCTATAGCCTGGAAAAACAGGGAGCTGTAGCTCCCTGCCTATAGCCTGGGAGAATAGTTGAGGACATCGCAAAGTCTTGGGAGACCCAGAAGAGGCTCCTAGCTCCTGGCTTCGGATCTGTTCAGATCTGGCCATTGTGGCAAGTTGGAGAGTGAATCAGTGGACAGAAGATCTGCTTGTCTGTCTCCTTCTCTCTATATATCTGACTGTCCAATAAAAATAAATGAATCTTTTAAAAATGGGAATTACAGTTTAAATTTTCATTGAAAATTATGAATATTCTTTCTAAATATTTACAGATATTGAATATTTGGTAATTCTGTCTTTAGTTCTAAAAATTGCAGTAAACCCATACATTGTTAAGCTGCTTACTGATAAGAAATGGTAAATTTTATTTCTTGTAGTTTAGACTTAAGGAAATTGTGCATGGGAATAGGTTTATGAAATGGAAAATTATTATTTTAAGCACATAAAGATCTAATTTTAGTCTAATAGAGTATTTTCAAGCCAAATTTGAAGAAAACGTGACTATTTTGTTTGAGTTCAGGATATAAACAGCATCTCTGAATGTGACTTATAATTTATTGTCAGTTTGTCACATATTTCACAGTTGTTTTGAGCTAGAACTATTTGAGAGACTAAATTTGTTAAGTTTCACCCTGATCTCCATCCAAATGGTCATAAATACAAAAAAATTAGACACTCATGAGATTTCATGAGCTCCTTTATTGCCTGGTAGAGTCATTCCATCTGAATTCTAAACTATCAGATTTTTTTAAAATTTAAAATGCATTCCTTCTTTACATTTTTAAAAATTTCTTCATCTTTTCGACTAAGTTTGAGAAATGTTAGTTGGAATTTAGGATCTCTGCAAGATATTTCTGTAGAAAGGATGACAACATTGGCCTAACAATTGGAATTCATATACAATGTATTCACAAAACAGGAGGTACTCAGAGAGTAAGGACATTATCTCAAAGAACATGAATACTTCAAAACTCTAACCAATCTTTCCTAATATAAACTGGGCCTGGCGAAAGCTACTTATTTAAACCAAAATTTGCCACTTCCCATCTTATTCAGAATATCTATGCAAGTGCTTTAAAAACATATGATGTTACTAGAAAGAAGATTGGCAGAAAGAGAATGGAAGACAACATTGTAGAATGGAAGACAAGATTGTCCTAACAAATGGAAAGACGGAGAGACAGAGCATGGCGATCTTATATTGCTCCTTCACCTCCCTAAATGTTTGTAACAGCCAGGGCTACATCATGCTACCAGAAGCCAGAAATTCTGAGCCGGGCTCCTGTGAAAGTTGGTCCCTCCACACACTTCAGTCTTCTGCTACTTTCTCAGCAGCAGTAGCAGGAAATTAGTTTGGAAGTGGAGCACCTAAGGTTTGAACTGCCACTCTGATAGAAGATGTTGCCATCATAGGCAACAGCTGAACCTATCTTGCCACAATACTCTTGCCACCAGATGATTTGTTTTACTTTACTTGTTTTTAAAACTTAAATTACTTTATGAGTAACTTATGAGTACTTACTTCGTTGTCTTTCACAACTTCAACCTTTTAGTTCACTTTACAGAATACACTTGAAATTTCATCAACCTTCTATGATTATCGGTTTTAAAAAGCTAGGCCAGGAAAATGTTTATTTGTATTAACAAGAATAGCGTTGCAGCACTGTGTTTAAAGCTACATGCTCCAACTTTATTGGGAAACCAAACTGATTCTACAAACATGCTGGGAAATATATTTTATAAAGTGAATTATTGAAAGAAGCATCTGGATAATGTGTTTCTTATTTCTACTGGTGCTTTAATATTTAATTCTTCATGTCATTAAGAATATAGTTCAGCTAATCCATATATGTGTACCTTTCTTATTTTTTCCAGGCCAAAAGGTGTGTTTTGCTGACTTGAGGCATCCGTGCTACAAAATGGCTTACTTCCACGAGCTGTCCAGCCGCGTGAGCTTTCAGGAAGCCCGCCTGGCTTGTGAGACCGAGGGAGGCGTCCTCCTCAGCCTCGAGAATGAGGCTGAACAGAAGTTGATAGAGAGCATGTTGCAAAACTTGACGAAACCTGGAACAGGAATTTCTGATGGTGATTTCTGGATTGGTCTTTGGAGAAATGGAGAAGGGCAGAGCTCTGGTGCCTGCCCTGATCTCTACCAGTGGTCTGATGGAAGCAGTTCTCAGTACCGGTGAGTCCGGTATCCTGTAGTCCAGGGATGCGTTGCAGGATGGGAAAGGGCTAGGCTGTGTTCTTCAAAATAGAACAGGGAAAACCACTCAGCTGGCATGTTTTTAACTCTTCCTGTAACTCTCTGTAGAAACTGGTACACAGATGAACCTTCGTGTGGAAGTGAAAAGTGTGTTGTTATGTATCATCAGCCAACCGCCAATCCCGGTCTTGGGGGTCCATACCTTTACCAGTGGAATGATGACAGGTGTAACATGAAGCACAATTACATCTGCAAGTACGAGCCAGGTAAGATACGGTGTATAGCATATTCAGTAGATTTTGTGTTGGTGGTATGTTAGATTTTGTGTTTAAACTTTACTGTCTCTGGGTCTTTCTGTATTTTAAATGTGCAATTACTTTTAACCATGTTGTAAACACTCAGAGTACTTAAGCGTATTATATGTCTTAGAAAAAAAAAAAAAAAAGAAAGAAAAGGCCGTTGCGCTAAGGAGAGGAATGTTACAGAGAGCAAGAGAGAGCACACCAGATGCAAATGTAGGACTTAAAGAGAAGCCTTTATTAGCTGGGCTTAGTGATTGCTTCACCCCGGGAACCACCACGCCACCTCGCGGAAGCCAGGGGGTTTTAAACTCCCATCAACATGCAACAGGGATTTTTCTCAAATTATCCAATAAATTTAGGTGGTGCATGTTACAAATCATCCAGTTAAATTCAGAACACACCTTAAGCCAGTCAATTTACGGGTGTTTACGTTAGCAGATAGCTGTTGTCAGGTATACTTGAAACAGTCCAGCAACCCAAACAGGATCACATCTGCCCATTCTTATGGAGGGCTGCCACCCAGCTGAGCCCTTCACAAGTATAGGCAGAAACAATTGGAGAGATATTCTCAAGGGAAAATAATTATTTCTGAGATGAAGATCAAAAATTTTCTTTTTTTTTTGTAAACATAGGAGCAAAACTGCATGTTTTTCAATTTCTTCAACATTTACTGTAGCATGTGGAAAGTGGGCAGAAGTTATGACAGCACATACAGGAACACATAAAAGAGCAATAGCTCTCTGAATGATTTACTGAATGTCAGCCACTTTCTGCTGGGTCATTTGCTTATCATTTCATGGCATAATACTTGGCTTGTGGTCCTACAAGAAAATCAGATAGATTATAGCACATTACATTTTAATAGACCAAAGTATGTGATGCTTTCTTTGTATGGCCCCCATTCTTTGAAATAAAGCCCGTTCGTCATCTTGTGGATTCTCCAACTTCTTGCCACATGAAGAAATGGAAGGATTGCATTGATTTGAGTAATACTAGTATAGTTTTTGTTGTCGTAAATAGTAAATCTGAATTACTTTGAAAAAGGCAGCTTATGAGAACTGGTATTTGACTAAAAGAGAAATTAATTGAAACTCTGTCAACATATTTTAGACAATCATTTCAGGAGAATCAGCAAAACAGCATAGTAAATTAAGGCTGTCTGTTATGTTGACATTCCAGATGGGCAGTGATTAGAGCCCTGACTGCCCTTCTTAAGATCCAACTCCACGTTGATGCACCTGGAATAGCAAGACCCCTGCAGTCACATGGGAGACTTGAAGAAGCTCAGACTTCTTTCTTGAATCTGGTTCAGTCCTGGCTATCATGCCATTTAAAGCGGATCAGGGGATAGGGAAATGTGTTTCCCTCTGACCCTCCTCCTCTCTTTGTATCTCTGCCTTTCAATCATAAAAAAATATATATATTAACATATTAATATATTTATACACACATATATATTAAAAATAATTTGGAAAAGCCACATTTTATAATTAGGCATTGGGGTTCTTTTTTCTGCTTTTCTCCTCTTTGTTTGGAGGTGTTTCACGGACTCTTCTGAATGGCTGTCTGCTTGATCTCATTATGGGTGTTTGTGGAAGGCAATTAAAACTAAGTACTTCTGCTCCCATTATTCTCTTGAAGCTATGTGATTCCTTTTGCCATAAGAGTGTAAAGCACAGTGATTGTTTGGATTAGGCTCAGCGTTCTTTTATGTCTATCCTGCTCTTGAGTGTATTAGCCAACTTTTTATACCTGTTGACTTTATTCTCTAACCCCCTTGGTGACTGAATCCATCATTTTACTCTCCGGGAAGCCTTTGAAAAACTGTTTTCAAACTTAAAATGAAGAAAAATGCATAATACTTGCAATAAATGTTGTCAGGGTGGTTGCTTAGTACAGTGGTTAAGATGTCTGTGTTTCATGATGGAGGGCTTCAGTATGATTTCCAGCTCTGTCTCCTGACTCTAGCTACCCACTGACATGGATCCTGCTGTCTCTAGCAATGGGCTCTCTGCCATCTAAACATTAGACAGAGATTGTGTTTCTGGTTTCTCACTCTAACACTGTCCCAATATTAGCTGCTGTGTCCTTTTCTGGGTTGAGAACTTTATCTCACTACTTTTCAAATATGCCAATAAAATGCTAATACAATATTCCCTCCTTCTCTCTGAGTTTTCAAATCAACTCTTCGATCATTTAAATTTTTCTTTCAGAATTATCTCATTACTTAGGACAATATTTCCTTTATAATCTTCACTTGTTTTTGTCAGTAACCTAGGTTTGTATTGCTCATGCAACATGTAAAATGTAGAATTCTTCGTTATTTGTTAAATGATATATGTTTATGAAAATATGCTTTTATGTATTTGATAATCCCATCTACAGGAGTGCAAATGTCTTTAAAAGTGTGATCAAGACTTGAAGGCTATTACTGCCTGATAAAAAATTATGCAATAAAGAAATAAATATTGTAGGATAGTAGATGAATAAATTCCTATTAATAGATACTATGACAATGTAAATATAGTTGGGATTGCGTTAAAATGCTTTTATAATTTAAAATTAATATAAGATGCTGCCTGAAACTCCCCCCTCCACAAAATTGGCAAACGTAAATATAGTTACATTATTTGTTCAACTAAAAATAGTTTTTTCTTACTAATACAGTTTGTTGTTTTTAAAGTATTTATCTAAATAGCAGTGTTCCTTAGAGGAAAAACATCTAGGGTGGAGTAGTACTATTTTAACCATTTTAAAGTATGTGCTGATTGAAAAAAACCTCATTTTAGGGAAAGGGAACAAGTTGTAAACCTTAATCTGTGATTGTTATTATTATTTTATTATTTTCATTTTTATTATATTTTTGACAATTTTTACAGAGTTAATTAGGGTAAAAAGGTTCAAGGGCTATAGGAAAGTAGGTAAGACTATTATTTCCATATTGTTTCCTTCATGTTTAAAGGTGGGTATTAAGGGAGAAGGCCCACCCAATTTCCCACCCTCCCCAGGTTCCGGATGTAGGGTATGCTCCGAGGTTCTTGCTCAAGTGGTTTTGACAGTTCACCAGTTATAAATTGCTGCCAGTCTTGCCACTCGAGGTACTATGAGGTCTTTGAAGAATCCACTGATTGACATAGTCCATCATAGAGTCTCTGTTTGTGATTATTATTTAAATAAGTAGACACGCTTATTGCTAGACACATCTAAGAGTGTTATTGTTTATGTGGGACAGAAAAATTATTTAGGATACTGTTACTTACATCATCAATTGAAAATGTAATTTATATATAATCATGTATTGATTATTACTGCAAGGAGAAACCTAAATATTTCTCTGATTTCTGGAAAAACATTGTCATAGTCCATCTTCAAATTGTGTCTAATACCTAACATTTCATATTTATCGATTTTCTGCCAACTTTGTCCCAGCTTTATTTTTATTGGTGGTAGCAGGCTTTCATCAACACAGAACACCTATTGATTGTTAAATGTAATTTGGAATTGTAAAGGGAATTCATCAAATGGAACTTTTACTCAAAGATAACCAAATATAAAAAAGATAATTAAATATTTACTTTATGGTAAGATCATTTTATGTTCATTAGATTTAGGAATATACTTCTAACTGTGAACTATTGTTACATGTCAAAATCATAGTTTTATTTTACAATAATATTTTATCTGTTTTCACATCTCTTATCATTATACACCATAACTGTGCTATTTATTTACAGAGATTATCCCAACAGAACCTGTAGAAAAGCCTTATCTTACGAATCAACCAGGAGACACCCAGGAAAATGTGGTTGTTACTGAAGCAGGTAATTTGTTCAAGTGTCTTTAACTCCTTAATCAATAACAGAACTGTACATTGAAACACTATTTTACATTGACATAAATAAAGCTTTTTATTGCTTGGGCAAGTGATGACTAAATATGAATCTATGCAAACTCACTTTTGAGTTTGTTACAAAAAATGTATTAAGATGTTTGAATAGAAGCTGATATGTTCAGATTTTTACTTCAAATTGATGTTATCTGGGATAAAACAGAGAAATTGGTACTAAAACCTCGGAGTGTAGGGAACTTTCCTAACATCACATAGATGTCATTATGTATTTTGACATACTCTGTGGCCTATAAAGAATGATGTGCTGGTAAATATTCAGCAATTGACTCTTCTATAGGTGGGATATAAAGAAGTAAACCTCATTTTGTAGCCTTTGCCAATTTCTATGGTAAAGTAGCCCTAACCAGGCACTTCAGGTTAGCTAAGTGCATCTCTTACCAGCATGTTTGGAAAAGATATCCCTGCTACTGCCTACACCGCATGCCAGTGCTACAAAGGAAATAAACTGCATTTCCCAACACACTTTGCATGTTAATTCAAAACAGCTCCTGATGTCAGCTGGGGTTCCTTTGAGCAGAACCCCATAGTCAAAGATCCAAAGTCTCAAAATCTTCCCACAGATAACCTGAAGTCCATGAAAAATGGGAATATTTTCTCTTTTTTTGGCCATTAAATATTAGAAATGATAATAGCCTTTGAAGGGGAAAGGTAATATTTCCTGAATCTTAAAATTCTAAATCACCTGGGGCTTACGGGAAAAACGGTGAATTCTCATCCAAATACTCCATCATTAGGCCACATCAAGATGTTGTGGAGTTGAGTGGATACTTGATCCATGCCTGGACCACTTTGAACAGAATTATTTAGTCGTTATCATAATGAGCTTGGATTTGCAATCTAAATTTGCAGTTCTTGAATTAACTTGTCTGTTTGGGATATGACATCAAGATTTAGTGCTTTTGACTTTCCAGGTGCCTAATTTTAAAATCAACCAGATCATCTGAAAAACCTGCTTAAAGAGATTAGTAAATAATTACATGAGGAATTTTTTCTCTGAAGATATTAAAAATATGCTTAACAAAGTCATTTTAGGCTATATGGGATTTCTGTGTAACAATTTGCATTTTGCTGAACACCTAACCTTGTCAAGTGTGATGAAATAGTAAAAAAAAAAAATTGCTTTAGAATTTAATTAGAATCAAGTCTTGTATAGCTGTTATAACTTCATCATCAGTTAATATTTAAATACTTCTGTTTAATTTCATACTTGCATATTTTCATTTCACTGAGCTTACTGACTGATATATTTATCTAATAAGTCTAACCAGTATTTGTTTCTTTAGGCAGTAGTGAGAAGTATAGTGACATGAGATAGCTAAGATTATTAGTACATTATGAAACTAATCCATGACTGAATTATAAGTTAAATAGAAGTTTTTAGAAATATGGATAGTAAATTTTAGCATGATAATTCAGTGCAATTTTCCTTTTTTTAACAAAGACATGAATAATTGTTTTATTAGATTTCTCTGTGTTTGGGAAACTTGTTTGAAATCTATTTATTGGTAAGAATTTTACCTTAAAATCCTTATATAACTTTGGTATGACTTGTTCCTCAAGTATCCTTAAATACTAAGATTGTTTTACTTTTGCAGGCATAATTCCCAATCTTATTTATGTTGTTATACCAACAATACCCCTGCTCTTACTGATACTAGTTGCTTTTGGAACCTGCTGTTTCCAGATGCTGCACAGAAGGTAAATAATGTCTGTGTGTAGAGACAGCATAGACTATTCTAAGCAGATTTTTAGAAATGTTTTTTAAAGTATTAGTATAGAATTAGCTACATTTTAGCCTGTCTTAAGAAAGTGTGAATTCCATATATGCAAGTACAAATCTAGTACATACGCTGCAGTAAGATGTCTCCTCATTTAGGATTCATGCCTTGTACCGCTTTATCTTCCTGAATCTTGTGGAACAGGTTCCTTTTTCTTCTCTTCTTCCAGTTGAGAAGATGGTGGATTAGATGGATTACCCAGCTGGGTTTGGAGCTTCTTGGCAGTGCATATGGTAGATCAAAATCTCAAGCCTTGTGGGTTTACATCACACACACTATATTGTACTCTCTAAACACAAGAATTAATATCGGCACATTTAATCTTAATACCAAGTCATATAAAATTGATTTTTGTGGGTGCATTTGGAAGTAACATTTCAAAATTTAATTTGTAGACCTCTACTTTGTTTCAAAAGGATCCTTGAAGAATAGGCAATAAAACTGCAGAGGTGAAACTAATTCATTCTGGGAAAGGTGTCTTGAGATATTTTAACAACAAAAATCTTGGAAACATTCTGATTTTTGTATTTGCTTACCCCAACCTTTGAGTTGAAGAAGTGAAGTTTTCCCATCTGTGTTAATGTGCCAAATAAAGAAGAATATAGAACTTACAAATATGCATCAAGGGAAAAACTAGAATTGGTGGGCTTAAATAAGGTTATGTTTGCTAAATTAAATCAGGAATCATTATTACAGTGTTCCAAACAAGAATTAACCAAGAGAATGCCTTCATAGGAAAGAACTTGCAAATAAAATGTTTTTCCTTTCAATTTATCTCATTTTCTTTTGTTGAAATAGATCATAAAGATCTCACTAAGTATTAAAATCCCAAGAAAAAATTACTAGTTGTAAGTGCCAACTAATTCACATATATTTTTTAATTATCCAGCCTGAACTTAGCTGGCTGTTAAAAGAAAGCATTTTTAATAATGATGAATAAACCTTGTAAAATTGATTCTTCACTTTGTATCCTCTTGGATTCCAAATATATAAAAAATAGAAAACAATTAAAATGTGTTTCTCAAATATTTGTAAATGGCAATAATCATTAATTTAGCATATCTTATCTGAAAATCCAAAATCTGAATGCTGAAAAACTTGAACACTTTTGCATGTCAACATGATACTACAAGTGGAACATGCATCTTGTGCAATGAATCAAAGTGAAAATGCAGATGCACTATTAACTAATACTGTGTAAAATTACCTTGACTGAGTATACAAAATATATATGAAGCAAAAATGAGTTTTATACTCAAACCTGGATGCTGTGCCTAATATATCTAATTGTGCACATGCAAATATTCAATTATGAAGAACACTCTGGAGCCCCAGCTCCTGCTAGTCCCAAACATCTCAAATACAAAATATTCAGCTTGTAAATATTTAGGTCCTTGCTCTAATCCCTAACACTATAAATGGAAAGATGGTTTGTTATTGTGAAACTCAGTGAATGAGAGGAAGGATTTCTATAAATCCCCCTTAACCCATTCTAGACTGTGGAGAAAGACCCATCCACAGGCCACGTAAAGTGTCCCAGGTTTTTATAATTTGAAAAACTGAAGTTTTCACTTTTTTGAAATTCTCAGAGTGAGAAAGTGAGCAAACGTAGACCATCTCAGGAGCCGGAAAGATGTAGAACTTAATTCTTTGTTCTTAGATCCTCCGCTTTTCCTTTCTTCCAGGAGAGCAAGGAGAACCTTGATGAAAGACTCAACTCCATTATCATCTGAGTGCCTTGCAGAAAATTTAAATGCCAATCTGGTACACATGATGGTTTCTGTCATTCCATTTCGTATCTAAAATAATTCTATTTCCCTTAACTGGCAATAATCCTTAAACAAAATACTAATTCTAAACATTACCACCATTAATAACTTAACCACCTTTTTTAACCACGTAAAAAATTTCTGTGTCTGATAAACTTAGCTTGACTTAGTTTCCATTTACGTTAGATGACTTTGTAGAATAAAGTGCATTATTTACATATGCAAAAACCCTATAACACCTGCAATTTATCCATAACATTTTATTAGCCACAAAATATTTAAGTTGAACTGAATTACATAATATTGGACAATTATAAAGTATGTTGGAAATAAGTTATTTCTCTCTTTGAAGGATTTTTGCATGGCCTGGTTATTTAATGCTGGGGGGGGGGTGGGTTGGAGAAGAGGCATGCCTGCCAGGATCAGGACAAATGTGGGAGGCTATGGACTGGACACAATGAGTGAGAGAAGAGAATAAATTTAGCACATAAAATAAATAAGGACAGATAGAGAATATTAACCGGAATAGATAAAATTTTCAGCAAAGTAGACCATATTGATCTAGGTCTTGACAAGTGGAGGATGACTTGGGTAAACTCATGAATAGACCACCTGTACAGATATCTAAAAAACAATTTATTCATGGAAAGACAGAAGAGAACAGAACCCTAGAAACAGCATCTATACATGAACCAGAATTCTACAGCTACTGGAGTGAAGTTTAGTCAGCCATGGAAGAACCCGGGTAATGCTAAATTAGAAAAATCTGAATCTGCCACTGAACTGCACTAGTTTGAGAGACTAAACAAAAATTGAGCTTTCAAGGACCAACTTAAGTACAGGCTGAGGAAACTTATGGGAATGAGGATGATGAATAGGCAGGTTCTTACACACGTACTAGAACAGCCTGTCTCGATGATTTTATTAAATTCATGATACTTAGGTTGCAATATTATTTTACTCAAAAAGCAAAATTTTAAAAATTATTGAGCAAAGAAATTAAAGATTGGTGAATTAAATTGAAACAAGATTGTATCAGAAAAATTTACCTTTCATAAGGGGCTATTTGCCATCATCACATGTAAGAATAATCCAGAATTTTCATAGTAATGAAAAATATGCTGGTAAAAGAAGAATCTTCTCCTAAGGAAATATTGGGAATATCTCCATTGGACCAAGACATGCCTAGTTTGATAGGAAATTTCATAGACTGAACTTATTTTTTTCTTTATGTATTTCAGTAAAGGAAGAACAAAAACTAGCCCAAACCAATCCACACTATGGATTTCGAAAAGTACCAGAAAGGAAAGTGGCATGGAAGTATAAGGACTTGTTGATTGGACTCCAGAAAAGAGTTTTGTAATTCTGGATCCATATAAGGAATGGCATCAGAACATTAGCTTGGAATGGCTTGAACTCTCAAAGGAAATGCAAGATGAAGTGTAAGCTCCCCCTTGAGGCAAATATTGAAATAATTTTATATGTTTGTTATTTCATTTACAAAGATGTGCTGTGCTGATATGCGCTGTGCTCATAATGGAGTGAGATAAGCTTATTTTGCTAAAGGATGCAACAAACTTCACGTAAATGGAATGGACCACCCTACTAAAGTTGCTGTCAACACTTAGGAGTGTGTTGGAAGCAATTATTTTTATTTTTTCAACTTTCACAGGTTGTAATCTAGTTGATGTAAAGAAAATTGTATTGAAATTTACACTGTGCAAAATATTTTACCTTTGCATAAGCATTTGATAACATGAACTGTTCTTATATTTATTTTAGGATGTTTCATTTTCAATACCTTTTGTTTTGATTAAAGAAATATATCACTATTGTAAGTTGAATTCTCACACCATCTACAAATGTAATACCATACATAAAGTGTGTCCTTTTTTTTGTTTATACTAGAAGAGGTTCATCTCTCGTTTCCTCTGATGGTGGTAGGATATGTTTAGGAAATCTCTTCAGAAATAAGAGGCTATTTGATTAACTGTGATATAAATCTCCTGAGATATTTTACTTAGAGGCAAGAATTGTCTAATTTCACTTGTGTAAGACATGTGCCTTAAATTATTTTTAGCATAAAATTCAACAAATTTTGTAATACAGTAAGTTTATTAACAGTTGTGTAAGCAGTAATTCAGTCAACCTAGAACAATAGAAATGCATACACAATGTAAATCATATGTCTTCACATGTTGCCTATACAACGCTGAGGGGTCCAATTTCAATGTGGTCCCTCCATTGCCCACAAAACAAAGAAGACTGTTTAGGGTTTGGGATTGACACTGGAGGCAAGAGGTTCTAGACTTCCTCTAAGTTCTGTCTAGTTATGTTTACTCTCTATTAGTGTGTGAAGAGGTCTTACTGCTGAGACCAGTTGAATGGTCACACTTTAGCATGGAGTTAGCACCACACAGTGTTTTTTCAGAAAGGCTGACACTGAGATAAGCAATGGGTGGAGGTCATCACTGATGACCTTGGTAAGGTTCTAGTTAAGGTTAAGATATAATCTGTGGCTCCTTTCTGTCTTCTCTTCCCCTAGTCAAGTGTTGGACTTCTTTTTTTTCTCTTTAAGGGAGTTGTAACGATCTGGTTTTGAAATATTATGATACTACTTTGAACCAAATAAAGAGTTCTTGTTTCCGAAGAATGATCATGGGTGTTTACTATAGTCCTCATTGAACAAAATACTGATAAAGTTCATCAATATTTGAAGATGAAACAAATTATAATTTAAATGTAATAAGAATGAAAGTTGTGGAAATTTAATTTTCCCCATCATTTATTTTTTTAAGTTGAATAATAAAATAGTTTTATCTATGTATTTGATGACTAGAGTTGGTTGACAAAACTAAGAGGTCAAATAGAAATTGGTGCCATTGGCCCTCTCCAGATGCTTAGAGAGTGAGAGAATGCACAGCTGCAATTTATGCTGAGATCTGAAGATTTTGGCTGTTTCGTTGTTTTCTTGGCTTCCTGTTTTTGAGTCTGGATGGGAGGCCAGCTGCTGGGATCCAACAGCTCTCCAAGCTGCCATCATGCCTTTCTCCCTTTAGCTGGGCCATGTCAGGAGAAAAAACTGAATTTTTTTCTTTCATCTATGCCACCCAAGACTAGGACAGCTATGATGCAGATGCAGAAAACCAAAAGGGAGTAGTTGCAACTTTGTCTTTTATCTTTATCCAATTCTGGATAGTTCTGGCTTTAGTGACTGAATCCATGTGTGAATAAAGGTTATTCAACAATCTTCCTTTTAGTAAATAGACTGATGCTGTGCTTGGAAATTTTTAAAAATTAATTAATCTTATTATTAGAAAGTCAGATACACAGAGAGGAGGAGAGACAGAGAGGAAGGTCTTCAATCTGCTGGTTCACTCCCCAAGTGGCCACAACAATAGGAACTATGCCTATTCAAAGCCAGGAACCAGGAGCCTCCTCTGGGCCTCCCACGTGGGTGCAGGGTACACAAGCAGAGAGCTAGATGGGAAGCAGTACCGCTGAGACACAAACCGGCACCCAAATTGGTTTCTGGCCCATACAAGGCGAAAACTTTAGCTGCTAGGCTACCGTGCTGGGCCTAGTGCTTGGAGCTTTTTCAAAATATACTGTTACACACATCAACAATCCTTGGTGTGCGTCAATATCCTATCTTCTATAAAGCTTATCCATTAGTTGAACCCATGCAAGAGTGTGTGTGTGTGTGTTGTATTGAGTAGGTATCGATTTTTCCCCAGAAATAATTCAATGCATTCTGTGTGGTAAGTTAAATTTCAGTTTTTTCTTACTTTGGAAATAATCCAAAAGATTAAAGCAAGTGAAGCAAATTCATTTATTACACATTTTTGCCTTCCTAATGAATAATTCAAGTGTGTCCAAATAAGTTTTTCCCATGTAAGAAATATCCCCTGGAAAACACATAAACCAAATAAAGCATTTGTAATGTGTTTGATTTTTTTTGACTCTTAAAAAAATTCTAACTTAAAATAAATGGACATTATGGGTAATCCAGGTGACAAATGATCTATGTAGAATGACCATTTTAATTTTTTTACATTATATTAGGTGATATGCAAACCTGTGCCTTATTTACTGCTTAATTGGCTTACTGTACAGAAATATACAATCACAATGTACTTACAATAGTGCTTTTCATGAGCAGGAAAAAGATACTCAAGTTAAAAATGGAAATGAGTTTTAATTAAATTCAGAAAACTGTTGAGATTCTGATAACAGCAAGCTAGGTAGGCATGAGATAATTTATTTTATTTTAAACTATAAGATGCATTGGGAAAACGACTTATTTCACTTCTTTTCCAACATTTGCTCATCATTTCTTAAGTCTGCAGGACATGTTTTTAAGTAATATTCATTTAAATAACAGAAAGTGTTGAGAACAATGATTAAACGAGAAGGAAATGATTGCGTCTGTGGAAGAAGAGCTGTTCACAAGGCAATCCAGCCATTTAAAGGTACTTCCTTTTGGGAAGATGGACTTGTTTGCTTTGTTTTCTCCATCTTTCCATGAGCATCTTAGTGAATTATTTAAGAAGGAAGGTTTATAGTTATTTCTTTCCCCCATAAAATTGATTGCTATGCTTCTTAAAGGAGAACAGGAAAACTGCCACTTCTCACGTTTGATTTAGGAAATGCTCTAATCAAGGAGACTTTGTATCCATTCTGTGAACCTTGTTGCTCTCACATAAACCCCTGGGCGATTAGGCCGGGCACACTGGTATCCAAATGATGTCACACCAACAAGGAACCACCTGTTGTTTTCTTGGCACATTAGCGGTCCTCCTGAATCCCCCTAAAAAGTGAATTGAAAAAGAAAATATTGGATAGATGGTTAGTTGTCATAAGCATATAATATTAATAGTTGAAAGCAGACTGATTATAAAGATATAATTTAAGGACATTTGTGTAATATCATTCTAGATCACGAATGAGAACTCTTTGCTCCTTATGCAGAAGAGAGAAATGGAGACAAGGGAGACATGGTTTATAACTTTTAAAAATAACCTCTGGAAATGAGATAGCACATATTTTCTCACTAATTGTGGAATTTTAATGGCACTATAAGAACTTCTCTAAAGACAATGATAAAAAATGTCGCAACCACTATGTATAATAAAAGCCAATTATATTCTTAAAAGAGATGAATTCTTAGTAACATGAAGGGTTTTGAGGAAAAGACAACTTATCTGAATTTAGAACTCACATCTCATGCTGATTTTAGATTTCTCAAAACAGTCATATTGGAAAAAATAACATTTCACTTGAAATGGGAAAATCTGTGATATAATTTCAAGTGACGGCACATGTTTTATCTAAGAGTTGAAATGATGAACATATAGAGGATGGAATATTATCCAGCTATAAAAGGTTGAGATCCTACTATGTGCAGCAAAAGTGGAAAGGAAGTCAGAAACAGAAATACAAATGCCACTTGTTCTTTCTCATATATGAGAGTTAAAAGGAACTAACCTTAATCTCAAAGCAGAGTGTTGGTTCTAGAAGCTGTGAGGGCGTGCTATATAAAGAAGGAATTTGGCTAAAAATTAATGGGAGAATTTGGGTGTGGCTACTAATTTTGACAAATATACTTCTGTTAGATTTCAATAGGGACTCTGGGTGCAGTTTTCAATTGTGACTATTGCAGTTTAGTATCAACGATGCTATACTGGGAGAATTCAGGTTGGCGTATAAGGGAAATCCATTACTTCCCAATCTCTATACATTTAAAGCTTTTCTGAAATATAAAGAAAAAGACTCCATGTTTTTTGCACATAATAAAATAAAGAGGTTCTCAGTTTCACATTTACAACAAGAAGGGATGTGTGACCAAATACATGATCTACAAAAAAAAGTGAATGTTTTTCTTTTCTTAAATACGTCGTATCCTAATAGAGTTAATCAAATAGATTTTATCTGTGTGATGGTTTTATGTAATAGAAGTAATGACAGTAAAAACTTAAAGTATCATTTTTAGTGATATTACCTTGATACATTATTTTCTCATAATAATCATACAAACATTTAAATCATATTCTACTTTTATGTTCATGCAAATGTAAAGTTATCTATATTTTGTTTGCAATCACTGGCATCACACACTATTTCAACCCCAGACTGACATCACAAAATATCCCAAGGGACTTTTTGCCTTCTTGTCTTTGAGGCCTGTAGTTAACGGGGCTAAAGTAATCCTACAAAGCGTCTCTTTTCTCTTAGATACAGGGGAACATAACTTGTGTTGGCAAATCAGGTTACCGGAATGTCCAGTCTGCCTGAAGGTAGGAGCTGCAATTTGTGTTTTTCTACCCTAAGCCTTTGATATTAGATCAGAGATAACTGAGCAAAAGACTATGATGGTATTTCAGGAGGTCCCTGTTGTGGCATTGTGGGAAAAGTTGCCACTTGAGGTGTCTATCCAAAATGAGCACTGGTTTCAGTCTCAGCTGCTCTAATTCCCACCCCCCAACTGAAGTGCCTTGGAAAGCAGCTGAGGATACCCCAAGTGTTTTTGGTCCAACACCACATGGGAAACTCAAGGGAAGGGTCCTGGCTTCAGACCACGTAAGCTCTTAACAGAGTGGCCCTTTAGGGAGAGAACCAGTGAATGAAAGATCTCACTGTCTCTTCCTCTCTTTCTGTACTTCTGGTTTTCAATTAATTAAATCGAGCTTAAACAAAACAAAACAAAACAAAACAAAACAAAACAAAAGTAGAATATGAGGGTTCTACAATGAATTCATGCAAAATTCCAGTT